CGGTGTCTCGGCTTGAGAGCCGTATTGGAGCTCTTGAGACCCAGTCAGAGCAGCAGGCCGCCGAAATTGCGGAAATTCGCGCCGACATCGTCAGAATGAAAAAGACTGTCAACTCTGTTCCTGCTTCTGCCTCTGTTTCGGTCTTGCCCAGCTTACTGCCTTCACCGGCTGGCTCGCATCTGTCGGACCCGTGTGAGATTCTACTCACTGGACTCCCGACAGATGCGAATTTGACTGACAGAGAGGCGCTCGACAGAGTCTTCACGACCATCGGACTAAAAGACTACAGCAAATTCTTGGTACACACTCGAGCATGGAACCCCAAAAATAGACGCAAGCCCGCACCTGACAACACCAGAGCATTTGTGTTCAAGCTGTCGTCTCCAAGCACTCGTGACCACTGCATAGTGAATGCGTCCAAGCTAGCCTCAGTAGATACAAATGCACTTTTTGGCGTAGGGGATGGCAAAGTGAGACTCCGTCCTTTGTGGCCAAGCGAGATCTATAAATTGCTCCAAAAAGCCTATGATGCAGCTCAAAAGTTAAACTTTGCTCCACCAATAGTGCGAAATCTCACTGTTTTCATGCGCAAAGCAGATGAATCGAAACCTATCCCCATTTCAACTGAACACGACATCAGGACACTCAAGCCGAGGCCGAGATAACGACATCCACGCAATGCTCTACCATGACACACTCATTCACGTGACCACTACTTGATACTACTGTTACTACTACTACTACTACTAGTACTAATTGTGCTACTATACTATCACTATTATTACTACCACTGTTACTGCTATAGCTACTGCATGTAACTACTACTATTACTACTATATTCAATTGTGCATATTCATATATATACTAAATCGACACTATGTAATACTACTTCTACTGCTACTACTACTATTAGTTACGCCACGCAACATAATTATAACTAATTATTAATGTTGCTGTTATTGTTAATATCAGCAATTTTATACATAAATGTAAATACGACCGTGCCAGATGGGGTTTATCCTGTGGCCGAATAAAGTCTTTCAATCAATTAATCAATCTCTCTCTGTAAGTACGATCAGACGTGTTTTTGTGGTGCTCCGTTTATAGTGCTGTTTTTAACTGTTTTTTCCACTCCTTCGAGTGTTTTTGATATTTCAGGTGGACGAGGCACCCAGTGGCTCCTGCATCACGTGAGTTCTTCGGCTTGGACTCACCCTCTGAGCCAGGGTTTACCTTGTTCTGCCTTTAAAAATTCTGTCGAGGTTAGAATTCTTGAGAAATCAGAAGAAAATTTCTTCCGTGGACCATCTCTCTCCCCTCTGCTTATGCTGGCTAATCTGCGTTGGACCTGCCTTTTTGCTCTTTGCGCCGATCATAATATTGTGACATCAAGTTCAACATCTCTCTACTCAATCTACTGCGGCGTAGTAGGAAGTGGTAAGCCTTCCCCTGTATCGTTTGTTCTGCTCGTTTCTCGTCATCATTGCGTTCCTTCAAACCCCACTACCTTTGCCTTTCACTCGTGTCTCTCATCATTATCATTGCCTTCATCTTCAACACTGTTGCCGGTATCGTCGCATAGTAGCACAGAGACACCACAAAATTGCTCGTTTCTTCTATCTGCCGTTGTACGACGGGTGAACATCAATCCGGCTCGTTTACATCTCTGCTGTGATTCCAAAAATGATCAAAAATACTTCTGACGAGCGTGGCCATGTATCAGCCAGCTGGCTGCTGAGTTTTCGAGAAGAATTTGAGAAAAGAATTTTCGATCGCATTGACAGGTGTTTTGAGGAGCTTTCTCAACGTTTGTCGCTGCTTGAGAAAATTCAGACACAACACACTGATGCTTTGAGTCAGTAGTCAGCTGCGACAGAGGAACTCTGGGTGACTTGCAACGACGAACTTGCTTCTATGCGTAAGGATCTTATGAGCGAAGTTGAAGAGGTACGGGCTTACATCTCAACTGCATCTGCGATTTTCCCATTGCCAACTACCTTACCAGAAACTCCTGAAGACCCGTGTGAGGTCAGGTTCAGCAGTATTCCACATGAAGTGGACACTACTTCCTCCAAGACAGCTGCCAAAATTCTAAAAGCAATGGGACTGGCTTGATTTGAAAACCATATAGTCCAAGTGCGCTAGTGGGTCAACCGAGAGCGCATTCACGCTTCATCTGTGCTCCCACGTAATATTTACCGACTTTGGCGTAAAACAGTCGAAACTACTCGCATAACGCAATGCCCTCGCCCATTCATGCGTGGACTCAATGTGTTTGCGAGGCCTAGGCCAGGATGGCCAGTGCTCCACGTACGCTCGGAAAAGGATCTTGGCTTGCTTAAGCTGCAAGTTTGCAGCGGACCTGATAAAGTCCATCGTGGTGCGTCACTTCAAAATGGCGAGCCACCGACGTCCGATGTTCGGCTATAAAGCTCGTTCCCCCTACCGCACATTTTTCTGCTTTTCAGTTCATCTTCACTTCTCAATTGCCTGTTTTAAAAAATTCTTCTGACCCTACTTTTTTCTCTACTTTACTTCTATTCTAAATCAACCACTTTTTTTCTGTCACCATAGCTCTGCTTACTGTTAACTTTTCAATAGTGCAGACTTGTACATGTAATTTTGACACCGAGTCATTCATGTCCATATCACTGTCACGTCATTTCATTCCTTAATAATCGTCCTTTACTTCTTATATTCCTTCTACTTCACCTCGCTACTCTGCAAAATTCCATCCTCATTCCTTATCACTCCTCTCCTCTCATAATGCGATGAGATCGAGTGGCCCCAGCGGTACAGGTTAAGGGCCCAGAGCCTTCTTTCATCCTTCTGCTGAACTTCTAATACTGAGAGAAGAACTCATTGCCAAGTGCCACTGTGCAGTGGCACACTTGCTCTTTACTTCTGCTATCATTAACTGTTTTATATAAATTCTGATAATATCTGTTGAATTCTTTATATATTTTTTTCTACCGGCTAATTTTATTATTAAATTGCTGTTGGGCCCCATGTGGTTATAATTCAGGGCCCGAATAAAAACCTTAATCAATCAATCAATTTCTCTTTCTGGTGAGTACAAGTGGCACGTGTTTTTCTCGACCCAAATTTTTTATCTGTTTCTGCTGTATCCGTGCCTCCGGGCATTTTCTTTTCTATGAACCCGACTGCACAGCACCATCTTGGTTCCTTGGACTATATCAGAATATTATGCCCCATTTAGATCGAGTTGTAGATCGCCTGGACAATATTGTAAAAACCCAGCACAAGCACGAGGAGGAAATAGCGCAAAACGCCAGAGACATCGAAGAACTCAGCCAACGCCTCTCAGCGAGCGAGCATGCTTTCGCAAGTCTCCAGGAGAGAAGTGCAACTACTAAGGAAACTTCAGCCACAGCACCCGCGCCTGCATCTACTGTTACAGAGGACTGTCATGATGACTGCGAGGTTCGATTGTCAGGCCTACCAGTTATATTGGACCCATGTGACATTACCAACGTCAAGCATGTACTTGAGGCACTAGGGGAGGAACGACTCTTACCGCACGTAATAAGTGTGCGAGAATGAAAAGCAAAGCCTCGTGTATCAGCCGCCAATTCTGCAATCTCTCAGATTGACATTGCTGCAAAGCATGTACCAAACACCAATGCTTGCGTGCTGCGCTTTGCCTCGACTAACGCACGTGAATCATTTCTCGCCGCTGCACCGCGATTCCAACGTCTCCCAGTGTCGAAGATTTTTGTATTGCCTGAAGCCGGGGACGGCCGTCTTAGTGCCGCTCCCATTCTGCCACCTGAGCGCTATCGACTACTGAGGAGATGCTGGCTTTTACCCAAACAGCACAGACTGCCCAACTCTGTAGTGCGCAACATGCGCATTTACGAGTGTTGCCTAAACCGCACCAAACTCACCCTAATCAACACCGGAGTTGGCTTGAATGCGTTTGCTATAGCACTGCCATCGCTCTCTAGCTCGTTCACTTCTGGTCATCATCCATCACCAACCAGCGTATCATAGGATCCTGCACCCTCTCGTCGTCAAGAAATGTCAAAATCTTTCTCAATAATTTCATTTGTACTCAAACTATACACTTGTAATCTACAACACTGTATGAGAGCCTACTGCTCAACACTGTTAATTTTTGCAAAACACCGAATTTATGTATATAGGTGACATTCCACGTCAACTGGCCCACCGACGAGTCCAAAAATAGGAGTCACCTAGAATATCGACTGAGGGCTTAAAATTTTCGTAAAGTCAAGGGCTTTCGAAATTCACGTGGCCTTTTCCCCGAAACCCATCCCCCCACCCCCTATGGCGGCTAATAGCCCGTGGGCCAACTTTTTGCATTGTTCATCGTTAATAAAACCCGCATAGTGTGGCCGACTGGGGTCTACGATGAACCAAATGAAAGGTTTTGAGCTCTACTTTTCAAAAACATGTTATAAAAACCATCTTTGGGTTACGTAAAGTGCCGTATGACTGCAAAAACCACGCGACGCGTATTTACGCCTCTCTATTTTTTATCTCGAAAACCATTGAGTCAAGGAAAAAATTTTATTGAACAAAAAAGTCTTAGAATTGATCGAGGAACACCCTCAAATTTTTTCAGAATTTTTTGGATTGATTTTATATATGCGGAAACGAGGGGAAATCGAATTTCTCAAAATCATCTCCGAAAAATTCTTAAAAAATCTGAGAATGTTCCTCGATCAATTCTAAGACTTGTTTGTTCAATGAACTTTTTCTTCAAACTCAATAGTATTCGAGTAGAAAAATACTTTAATTAATCGCGAGTTTTATTAAATATTAGGTACAAAAGGGATAAGTATTTTTTTACTCGAATACTATTGAGTTTGAAGAAAAAGTTCATTGATTGCCCAGCAGGCCGTCACGAACTTTTTTTTTACACATTCTGTCCCCTAAATAGATACAAATTAACATTTATGACTATACTTTGAACTTATATTAATGAATATTTTGTTCTCTTTTCTTTGTTACAGCTAAAATCGTGCAGTTAATGTGGTGTCATCTTCGAAAGAGGTACAATCGCCTACAATTGGCTTTGACGGACGGAAGACTGGATTTTAGGACTATGACCCGTTGCAATCACGAGTATTTGTATAGGATGGATTTTGTATACCACTTCGGGAATTTTTATAACCGCACGTTCGAAGAGCGCTGCCGCAAAGCAGGCATAGTGATCAGTTTTTAGGATTAAACATTGCTACTTCTACATACGACTAGATAAGCTGTTTCATTAAAATAAAAAGTTAAATAAAAAAAAAATTATTGCAAAAAATTGTTGCATAAGCCTGTAATTAGATTAAAAAGCAAACGATCAAACTCATTCCTGTAATGTAAATTGAATAAACAAATGTTCTCAACTTCAATGGTTAAAGGTGTTTTTATTGATAATAATATATGTTAAATTGATGGAATGATATCGAAGAAAAAAGAAACGAGCCATTTTGTCGGAGCTGCTGTTGTGGGTGTTTTTTGATTGCGTTGGTAATAAAAAAAGGGGAGTCGGAGCACTCGGAGGGAGCAGACAAACGGCGTCAGCTGCGTTAAGCCAGGCGAGGGGAGCTGTCAGATTGACGCTTGCGTCTTCTCTGATTTTGTCAGCCTCCTGAAACATGGGTTGTTTTGTTTGGTATATGTAGTGTAGTTCTTCGCAATGTATTTTATGGTGTTGTTTTGGCGATGGTAGCAGGTGACTGTGACATTATAAAACCATCGTATGTTGAATCTGCAGTCACTAAATTAATCTCTAAAATTTATTTACTCTGCTGTGCAGAATTGATTTCCGTAGTGAAACTCAATCTGGTGCTGTTTCTATAAATGATATAATTTTACCCTTCAGTGGTGAGTTTGTGATGCTATGAATTATTGACATTTGATAATGTGATAAAAAAACAAGACATCTTAGCATTGGTACATTCAAAATATGCATTTTTCAATAATCAAAATCTTTGGTACATAAATGATGATTTTATAAAAAACCAATTTGACATCAAAGTATGTTTGTTATATTACCATTTATCCTTTCATCACTCTAGATTTATGACATTATTTAACTCTTTTCAGAATGATGTTCAACGATTTATATCGCTTAGCACCTTTGGCTTTTATAAAAATGGAATTTTGGACGTAAATTTGATAAATTTCAAAGCAAATCCATTCAACAACAATGATGTTTTAAGTATAATAGAAAGTAGCTTGTAATATTCCGGCTTTTTTTTCAACTTTTTTTTCATTTGTACTCGTAGTATGGTTTTGGTCTTGATAAGACTTTAAGCGATGCCTTGAACCCGTACCTCGATAGTCATGACCAGTGTGTTCAACAAGGAGGCTACCCTTATACTATAAAATATGATTACGATGAAAAGGATGAGACTGCTGTTATATATTTTACTTTTGACTTAAGGCATTTGCAGTAAATATCGACGCTGGAAAAAGTAATGAATAAAAAAGTCAAAAACACAATAAATGATTTAACTAATCTAAACTCAATCTTCCCAACAACCCAAGAACCTTTAGTAGTGAAAACTCAGTCATCTCTCCAAACATCGATGATAATGCTGAATTCTCGTTCATTAACTACAAAACGGTAAAAAGACTATTAAAAAAACATGAGCAAAAAAACTTCATAGGCTTAGGACGAAATCCCAAACATAATCTTAAAGAAGCTAAATAATCTGTGTATCAGAAATTATACTATAATTTTTAATAATTGCACCAATGGCTATTACCCTGACGTATGGAAAACAGCAAAACTAATAGTAGTTAATAAGAAACCAGACCAACCGACTGAGCTGGACAACCGGAGGCCAATCAGTATGCTACCCTGCATTAGCAAGATATATGAGAGAATAATAAAAAATAACATCTTAGAATGAAACAAAAAACATAACATCACACCCGAGCATCAATTTAGATTTAGAGAAGGGCTCAGTACGATACACGCAATTCAGAAATTGACAGCGGACATCAACTGGGAGCTAAATATGGGCAGAATAACAGGAGCGGTATTGGTCGACTTGTAGAAGGCCTTCGACTCGGTATGGCACCATGGTCTATTATTTAAATTAATAAAAATTTACATGGACCCAAATTTGCAAAATTATGTCTATTGCAGAAAATTAACATTATACGATCAAAGGCTTATATCTAAATTTAAATACTACGTTAAAGAAAAGAAAAATTAAAAAAAAAATTACTTTCCTTGTTAATCTTTGCCTTTTAGTTTATTTTCTTTTTATGTGAAACATCTTTATCGGCGTTTGGCATGAGAGGTAAACCCGTGAAAAACGAGCGTCCGTCCGTCCGTCCAAACGAGCGCAATTGGTAGTATAAGTGTCTATACAGCATCGGTTTGCGCTGTGAGCTGCGATTGGCTTCCGCGCTAGCTACATCGATTTCGATGGCTGCGTTTCACTGCTGCCGACTACGTTGAGTTCAAGTCTGATATTGATAAATGCATGTTTTTATATGTGTCTATGAGTGTGTGACTTTTTAAGAAAAGTTGACATTTTTATTATATTATATTAATAAGCAACGATGATCGCTCGATGCACTAGGACGATATTTCGACTCATCGATGATTTCTCTGAATAAGTCGACGTTTTTATGTCACATCAATATCCAACGATGAAGTGCGAATGCGCTATGTTAATAATTTAATTAATCAATGAATAATTTAAAAAAAAACCTTCAAAATACTATGATTCGAAATTCATTTACAATTAATAAAATGCTACAAAAAAGCTAAGAAAATTGAATAATAACACATATAAATAAACAAATCAAATAATTAAGAAAAAATAAAAATTTGAGAAGAAGTTTATGAATTAAATGAAACTGTTATGTACCAGACTTGTTTCTGCTTGGACGGACCTCTGCGCAAGCGCGTAGGCGATTTAGATGCATGTCGGTACGGATGCGATGTTTCTGCTTGGCTGCCGATGTGGGTTCGGTTCCCAATAAACGCGTTGAAACGCGAAGAAGTCGTCGATGTGCTCCTGGTGTCGATGACGCGAGACGATGAAAAATAATGACTTCAGAGAGGTGGGTCGACGTTGCCTCGACTCTCGTGAGGAGGGCTTACGTCGAGGGAGGTCACGTCAATAGAATATAACAGACTCGTTGATATTTGCTGTGCACGTGCTCCGCTCGTTTAACGGCAAGTCGGAGCTTGCAGGGGAGGGTCGATGAACCGCGAGTCGTGAGACTCAGGTGGCGAGACTCTTTCCTTTAGGCAATCTAGCCCGAGCTACGGGTCGGAGGGAAGCTCGCACGGTTGACACTCGAGCACGGGGTCGATCGCAAAAAGGGGAAGAGGGAATACCGGCACTAGGTGGCGGGGTATTGCACCGAGATATTCTCGTTCGATTGACTATGTCCGTTAATTATTTCTGAGACTAAGTTCGCTAATCGCTCTCGAGATCAAGTCGGCAAACCAGCTCCGCGGTCGAGTCCTTCACGGATATTCTCCTATTGAAGCTCAAGTCCAGCAGAGGTTGTTTTTGTAACTATTTCGCAAGTTGATCAGCCAAGAGCTTTGGGGATGCTGAGTTGGTTGTTCAAGAATGAATGACGACGCTACGAAGGGCTACACTCCTTATATACCCGTCGGGATGTCGGCGGCGCGAGGAGGAAAAAGGGAGGGGAGCCACCGGTCGGGTGATCAAGCCACCGATTTTTGGTGGCTGGAAGGCAAAGGAGGGAGCGCCAATGATTGTTCGGTAGGCAGAGTTGCGCTGATATTGGAGAAATGTCGTTCTGGTTGGAGTTATGGTGGCGGCGTCGTTTCATCGCGAGTTCGGCGGCATCATGGTATTCCCCTCGTGTGCGAGTGTCCTTTTTCCTATCTTACCAGGCTCTGGTCTTACCTCTGGTTGGTAAGGTAGGTTGTGAGTGTTTTTTTTTTTACTCCACCCCATTCGGACACTCACCGGTAACCGCCGTTAGGCATTGCTTCGGCGAGGCCGGAGTTAGTTGAGCATTTCTGCTACTTCTGTTAGTCGTTGTTTTCCATACATCCCCCATCCGTCGCATAGTGATAGGCGATGATTAGGGGTTCAGGGACTCATCTTCTTTCTGCTTGGTGAACCTCCGATCCTGCACGATGCCATCGTCGATTGTCATATCCTCTTTTTCAGAACCGTCTACTGCGTGGTCACACATTGCTGGCATCTCCTCCTGAGTTGGACATCTTCTTTAGAACTCGCTGTCAAGTGCCATCTTGCGAGTGTGGTTCTCGCTTCTGCAGCCGATGGTAAGCCCATCCCTTTGCTCTGTTGGCTACATCTTGTGAGTGTGGTTCTCGCTTCAGGCGCCATCATGCGTGCTGGAGGAGCCTAGGCCCCCGCATCCAGCGCCCTCTTGTGAGTGTGTTCTCGCTTCTGACTTCATCATGGGAGTGTTGTGCTCCATCTATTGCCAGCCTTGTGAGTCCTCGCCTCGGGCTCCTACTTATGGTTATCTTATCGCTTCCAGATCGCACAGTGATCAAGGTTTTTTACCGCTTCGGAGGCTGATGACATAGCCCGGGTCTTCTTTTTGAGTGGTACCTGCTCCACCTCGGGCACGGGCTCGACCACACGAGGCGAAAAAACGAACCTCGCAAACTCGCCAAGTGAGGATCAAACCCACAACCTACGGCACGTTTTTTTTCATAAGATGGATCGGTTTTATAAGAAAAATTTAAAATAGTTGCAATAAAAAAGTTTTTACATTATTTTTTGACAATGTAATAATTTTTCTTGCTTTCTACATAGTTTATGTATGATCCATCTTCTTCTTTCTTGTTTCCTTGATGTTGTTTTTTTCCCCGCGGGACCGCCGTTAGGCATTACTTTGCGGGAAGGGAAGATTTAGCAGTTTGCTCTTTCTGAGGGCTGGTTAGCGCACCGCCTGCTTCCTACCGCATCGTCTGGTCATCTTCTTCTGGCCATTTCCTCGTGTCTCAGTCTTATCACGACTGCGTGAGCGAAGGAGGCCACCACGTGCCAGTTGGGTTCGCTCGTGAGCATGAGTCCAATGATGTTCTCGGGCGTCATTTCTTCTTGGCAGAGGACATTTCGTCTTCTTCTTTCCTCGTCGAACCACCGGCAGTGGAAGAACACATGCTCTGCGTCTTCCACCATGTGGGGACAGGTCGGGCACTGTGCGTTGATGGTGTTGTCGTAGCGCTGGCTATGGCGCCTGAAATAGCCATGCCCGGACAGGAGTTGTGTGAAATGGTAATTCACTTCTCCATGTTTCCTCTCGACCCACTCTCTGATGTTCGGAATGAGCCTGTGAGTCCAGCAGCCTTTTGTCGACCGGTCCCATTGCTCCTGCCATTTTCTCAACGTCTCGAGGCGTTCTTCTTCTTTGGCGTCCTCTGGGCGGCGTAGGTAGATCCGCGAGCGCTCATCTGCTAGGAGGGCCAGAGATGGTATACCAGCTAGGACGTACGTTGCCTCGTATGAGACATGAGTACGGCCACTGATCACGCGCAGGCACGCTCGCCGGTGTATTGACTCTGCTTGGCAGAAGTAGGCCTGTGTTTCTGTTGCACAGATCCATATAGGGGCGCCGTACAGCAGGATCGAGTCCACGACGCTGGCGTAGAGCTTTCTCCTGCTGCTCCTGGGGCCTCCAATGGTGGGCATGATTCGTGCGAGGGCCCCCGCCACGTTCGATGCTCTCTCGCTGACCATTTTTAAGTGGGCCTTGAAATTGAGGCGGGCGTCCATGTAGAGGCCCATGTATCGGATGTGGGGGAACGAACTGACATAGCAGTCGCCCACCTTGATGGTGATGGACTTCATCTGCCGCCTTTTGGTAATCAGCAGGACCTCCATCTTGTGGTCGGCCGTTTTCAGGCTAAGATCTCTAAGCGCCTCGCGTACCTGGCTGACGGCAGCGTCAAGCTGGTTTTCCAACTGCCACAGGTGCTTGGCCACTCCAACCAATGCGATGTCGTCCGCAAAACCGACTATTTGTACCCCGCGCCGGAACTCGAGCTGCAGGATGGCGTCGTACATTACATTCCACAGTGTAGGACCGAGGACCGATCCTTGTGGAACACCCACCGCGACGCTACAGGACTCCGGCCCGTTGTCCGTGCTGTAGTTGAGGACTCCTGACTGGAAATAGCTATTGATGATTCTCATCAGGCACTCTGGCGTGTGTATTCGGCTCAGGGCGGTGAGGATGTTATTCCACTGCGTCGAGTTGAACGCGTTTTTGACATCCAGGGTCATGACCGCACAGTACTCTATCGTTCCACCGAGCCAGCGGTTTCCCTAGAGCGCTTTCCTGGCGGTGGAGACGATGGTCTAGATGGCATCGACCGTGGATCGTCCCCGCCGGAAGCCATAGTGCTGGTCTGAGAGGCCGCCTGGGCTCTCCGTGATGGTCGTGAGGCGGTCGCAGATAATTCTCTCAAGAACCTTGACGGTCGTGTCAAGCATACACAGTGGGCGGTAGGATGACGGCTCTGCGGGCAGCTTCCCAGGCTCAGCCCGACGAACGTCCTCGTTTGACCGTCCACGGGCCCACTGCGCAAGTCTGCGTGCCCGCAGACAAGCCATCTGATGTAAAATCGCAAGATCTTTCGATCTAGCTACTCAGAAAGTTGATCGGAGTTTAACTCTGGAAGTTACAGCGTGTTTTATCTTCAAGTCCATTTGTTTAGATTATGAAGGCATATTTTTGCATTTTCGACCTCACCATTGGAAAGCTGAGGTATGAACCTATTGAAAACCTATGATGGTTTATTTTTCTGAATTTTATTGAACCCTTTGCAAGCGAGTCAAAAACTGAGCAATCCGGCCGTTTTCGCTGCCCGCGCGTGGCTCTGGGGCATTACTCGCGTTTTTACCCATATGAGTCCAAAAGGTAATATTTAAAACGTGCCGAAAAAAAGTTCTCAAAAAATTCTGAAAATATTTTTTTCGTGTTCGTTGACCAATTTTACGACGTTTCGTTCTCTGCAATTTTTCGTTTGAATGTTTTTAACTCGATATAGAAAATGAAAATTTTTGGCTCTTCAAAAAAGGATTTTACAAAAGTTTATATTATAAAATATGATTTTTATAAGATTTTATATAATAAAAGAATGATTGTATAAAACTGTATATAATTGAAAAATAACTTTATAAAAAAAAATTCATAAAGACAATTTCATAACAAATGTCCCCCAACCGATTTTCAGCTAGGGAAATTCTAGCAAAATTGCACGCGGATTAATCGAAAATCTACATAGGTATTTTGTCAATCCACGTGGCCTACCTACGTTTACAATTTATTTGATTCATGTGGTATCCATGTCCAATCTACGTTTTATCAATGCCCGATTCACCAAGAAACAATCGTAATTTCGAAAAATTATGAGAATGATCTCGCAATCTTCTTCTAACCCAAGTCTGCTGTTGGTGGAAAGATAATATTCTTAATTACGATTATTTCTGGGTTTTTCGTTGGTAATTTGAAAGAATAAAAACTTCCCCGCTTGAGAACTTATATTACAACCCAAAAAACCACTTTTAATAACTATTTCATTATAGTTTATCGACAATATCACAGACAAAAAAGCCGAAATTTCAATATTTTTTTATTTACAAACTAAAGACTTTAACTAAAAACCGCTTCGATATTTCGATACACAAGGATTTCCGCTTTCTCCAGATAATTTTTGTTTATTTTTTTACTGCACGTTAATTAACTAATTACAAGTACTTTTACTAACCAACTTTAACATGTAAAGTATAGGGGGGGTCGCTTTGTTTGGCCTCCAGTAAAATCAGCTGGTCGATTTGTGACTGTACCTGATGACTATGAACGCAGCCTAAGGACATTTTTATAAAGGATTATGCCAGCGCCACTCACCGAACTAAATTTCTTCTCATAAGAAATAACATGGGAAATGTTTTCAAAGTGGGGGCGCCGCGGGTGACGCACAGGGTCAATATAAAGCAGTATAAATTCAATATGTTATTTACCATTCACTGATAATCAATTTTGGGATAATCAGAACTGGGAGTTTTTAAATATACTATATAACAATTTTTATCAATAAATTAAAATTTAAAAATTTAAATTTAATTCTTAATTGGAAATGTCTTTGAATAATTATTCAATTAAATTATTCATTTGAAAAATCTGATATTTCTCATTAAACTCAACATCTCTCGTGATATTTCAAGAGATAAATCACATTGATCATTTTCCTGTCACTTTATGGACAATGATTTATAGATTTGTTTCAGATCTAGTTTTTATCGTTAAAGAACATGACGTGACTTGATAAAAAACCTACGTCATATTTCATATCATTTCTGGCATTAGGAAAATATCAAATTTCATGAGTACATGCAGAGTTTAGGATAAAGGATCGTGAATAATTAATTAATCGATAATAAGATTTCACTTTCTATTTCTATAAAACTGCAAAATTGTGAGTCATTAAATTTTTAATACTTTTGACTATTTCACACGCAAAAAATTATGTTACGAAAACTTACCATCACAGTTAATTTAACAACATTTATTCATTTTTTATTCAATGTTCCTTGTTCATTCCCTATATCGACTGTAAGGAGCCAAGCGAGTTCACAATAGTGCAGTTTATATACTATAGTTGGTGATTTAAATGTGTGCCCATTTCTTAACCTATTTAGTTACATTTATTTACAAGTACCTTCTGTAATCCTTAAAATTGATTTCCATACATTTAAAAACCCCTATGCATAAACCTATTCTATTGAGAAAGTCGATGAAGGTTTGAAAAATTTTTAAATATTTTTTTTTAATCTATTGAAATCTATGAAAATACCATAACATTAAACATTAATGAAAAAATTCGTATTAGCAAATATTCAAAACAAAAGTCAAAGAGCAATACATTGTGCACTATTTTTGAAATTGTACTAATTGAGGTATTAAGGTGATTTGTACCACAGCCCAAAATTCAAATTTTCAAACACATTTTCTGAAACTTCTACTGAATTTCTTTAAAAGGCTCCATGGGGGAATCTTAAGAATATCAAAATTAAGGTTCCCACAGAGCTTTTTAGAGAAATATTGTGAGAAGAAGTTTCAGTAAACTTGTTTGAAAATTGAATCATTTGCTGGAGTACGGATCTCCTTAAGAAGAACATGAATTTTAAATTTGATCTAAAATTGCGACCATAATTTTTTTTACATCCACATATGTCTAATTTGGTCATTTTTCGACTACAATGACATTTTGAATCAATCAACTATGTTATAGGATAGCTGATTATACTTAATTTCTAATAATGATTATTCATGTTTTAAATGTGATTATAAAAGAATGAAATAATAATTATAAAAACTATTCATCGCTGTGTAAATATATGTGGTGAATTTATTTTAACTTATAATAAATGAGGGAATAAATATAAATATGATTACATTTAGCTGTATAATGGAATAATATATATAATGGAATAATATATAGTTATAACTAGCAAAATTCTTTTTGAACATCACTTGCTAAACTATTATAGAGGTTGAAAGAAGTAATTAGTTCTTAGAGTCTTCTAAGTATACAGATTACTTGTAAAACATTGGTTTAATAATATATATGAAGGTATGACATTTATTTTTTAATTTTTTCTTTCTACATATTTGTAAATATACATCAATAAATTTTATTATTACTGAATTGCACAAATTGAGCAATGTTTTATTGCATTGATAAAAAAAGTTTTAAAATTTAATACTTTGAATTTCATATAAATTTAAGTTTGAATCAAGTAACAAGATTATTGATATTATACAAAAATAGCTATTTAGATTCTAATACTAGATTCTAATACTACCAAATTATTAAATTCTAATATTTGATGAAACTGTTACTAATTTATTTTTTAATCATTTAGTAATCATGAGAATGTCAAATGATATACTTTGCTAGATATCATTTAAAACATTACAAAAGTCACTTTTATTATGTTTATTGATATTATGGTACATCAATTATTATTATATTAAAATTTTTGTCAAACAAAATTTATATTTACTCAAATTTTGCATCAACTGTAGTTAATTATATCTTGTAAGAGTACTTTGTGTCAATTTTTTTAACAAACCATGGTAGCTAAATTATTTATGATAATAAGTGCTACATCTATTACATAATTAGATTTGGAAAAAAGATAAATAATTAGTATTATAAATATAAGAAAAATTGTAAGGTTAAAAAGACTTCCTATTAAATATCGAAGCATTCAATAAATTTGATAAATAAGTATCAAAAGTTTATATCTTGTACATTCCTGGTGTTTAAAATTCAATTATTCTTTTAATATATTTGACAAAAGTATAGTGAGGAGTTTTCTTGTTAAAATACTAAATATTCCATCTTATATCATCGCAAATTTAATATAATAGTTATATTTATTTTAATGGAATCACTACTATGTAACTCATGAAATAATAATTTTAAATTTTTTAATCCAATGACTATTTTTGATTTTTTTCCAGTGATTTAAAGAATACTTTATTGTAATTTAAGTAAAAAAAATATTTTATTGGGCTTATTTTATAGAGGATGTAATAGAGATATTAATAACAATTTTATTTTCCTACCATGTTGGTATTTCTACCATAACTATATGGTTGATTCTCCCGAAGTTTGCATTTTGCATGTCGACATGCCATGATCTTAAACTAGTGAAGATGAGCCAAAACTGGCTCGGTCGTTCATTTGATATGGTTGTAATCTTCATGATTGGACATAAATATTTCAATTTTTTAGTGCCAGTTAAATTTGCCGTGAAGATATACATGCCAAATGTCACCACCGTGGCATGTCTAGGTCACAAAATCAACTCTACTTGCATTTACCATGCATTCTCATAAGCACCTGACCTTATAATAACTACGAGACCAGCTTCTATACATCTAAAGTAAAGTTTAAGTCTATCATAGGGCCCTGAAAAATGTTTTAAAAAATTTCCCACACAATTGAAAAATGTCTTGGATTTTAATCATGCTTCTGAATAATTTCAAATATACCGCCTGCTTTGGGTCTCTAACTCATTTTTGATGTCCCTAGATACGTAAATGTCAAGTATTATAACCCAGCTTTCGATTAGTGTAGGTTGCGGGTTCATAATGATTCTATTGGAAAATTTACGTGTGTCAAAAAAACTGTCACCTCCGTGGAAATAAATATCTCGAGCTATGATCATTCTTTTTAACCGCTCGCCCTGTCAAAAGACTCGAGTGATCAGTAGTGTTTGAGCGCAACACTAAAAATTACTGAAAGAAAATTGATTGTTTGAACCTGTACCCATACTACAGTAATTTGTTTATAAAAATCTAACACGAACCATTGAAAAGTACTCTTTTCAACAAGTAATTTGAAAAAAATAAAGCACTGTAAGACTATTTTTGTACCTTGTAGATCGTTTTAAAAGTACCATTTAAAGTACGTAAAATTCCTCGTTTAACTGAAATAGACTCGATTTTCGGGTATTTTGCGTACTTTCAATGGTACCTTCAAAACGATCTACAGGGTGCGAAAATAGTCTTTCAGAGCTCTATTTTTTTTAAATTACTCGTTGAAAAGAGTACTTTTTAATGGTTCATATTAGATTTTTATAAACAAAAAATTACTGTAGTACGGGTACACGTTTAAACAATCAATTTTTTTCAGTAATTTTTAGCGTTGCGCTCAAACACTACCGGTAACTCGACATTGACTTAAGCCTATACATAATAAAAATGGATTTAAAGAGGACAACATTTCTACGAAATAAGAAAAAAATTCGTCTCGGTACGATCAAAATAGACGAAGATGGAAGCATTTTCACATTAGCGACAAAGATAATCAATTATATCAGACGCTATATGAACGGTACATTTTATCGTATGTCCACGATAAAGTGTACACTTTTGGAAGTCAAATTAAAAATAGTTAGAGACACTTATGACTATATGTTATTTACATCAAATGAAAGGGAATTGTATGAAATTGATGAAAGTACACTGATTAATGCGATAAGAAGACAATTTTTAAATAAATAACCCATGAAAGTTACATGTGAGAAAACAATTTTAAAAAAAAACTGTTAACACCAATTTTTTTAGAAAGTTTTTGCTTCCTCATAGAGGAAACTTTGTGACCGACCTATTTTCGACTTTCATAACTAATAATCGTACAGTACTTTTACATATATATTCTAAAACTAGATCGAATTGCTGACACGTACATGTCTGTATGTGTGTGCGTGTGTTTTTTTTTTTGTCTACTCCACCCCATTCGGACACTCACAGGTATCCGCCGTTAGGCATTGCTTCGGTGAGGCCGGGATTAGTTGAGCATTTCTGCATAGTGATATGCGACAATTAGGGGTTTGGGGACTCATCTTCTTTCTGCTTGGTGAACCTCCGATCCTGCACGATGCCATCGTCGATTGTCGTATCCCCTTTTTCAGAGCCGTCTACTGCGTGGTCACACATTGCTGGCATCTCCTTCTGAGTTGGACATCTCTTTTTAGAACTCGCTGTCAAGTGCTATCTTGCGAGTGTGGTTCTCGCTTCCGGCGCTACCCTATGAGTCTCGGTGAGTTTTTGATACTCCTCCTTTTTTCTGTTGTCATCTTGTGAGTGTGGTTCTCGCTTCAGGCGCCATCGTGCGTGCTGATCATGGGAGTGTTGTGCTCCATCTATTGCCAGCCTTGTGAGTCCTCGCCTCGGGCTCCTACTTATGGTTATCTTATCGCTTCCAGCTCGCACAATGATCGGGGTTTTTTTACCGCTTCGGAGGCTGATGACATAGCCCGGGTCTTCTTTTTGAGTGATACCCGCTCCACCTCGGGCACAGGCTCGACCACACCATGTGGAAAAACGAACCTCGCAAATTCGCCAAGTGGGGATCGAACCCACGACCTACGGCACACCCTGTATCAGCAGGCAAGAACTATACCCATTGAGCCAAGGAGGCCGATGTGTGTGTGTGTTGGGATATGCGCAGTAATATCTCGATGACGGTAGTTTGTATCGTTACTGTAGATGTCTCATTTTATTCGTTTTGACGTAAGGAAGAAGCCGAAACATCATTTTTAGTTCTGCGTTAAGTATTTAAAAAGTTATGAGGGATTTTCGAGAAACAAAAATTTTTTTTCATGTATTTTTTAGTTTTGTCATATTTGTTCTAAAACCAACTGGTTTTTTTGAATAAAAGTAATATTTTTTTTTAAGGCAGAGCTTTTAACCTTTGATTTAAGATAAAAAGTTTTAAGATTCACCGTAAGTTTAAAAATTTACGTTTTGAAAATGAAATTTGGTTTTTATGATTTTTTTCTTTCTTAGTTTTGTGTTGTTTCGTACTCAAAATTTATGATGTGTCAAAACATTGTTTATGGAAGGATTAAGGATGAAGCCAGAAAATTTGATTTAGCGATAAACGAACAAAAAAATTTTTTCTTTTTCGATTTTTAAAATTATTTTTTTTTTCTTTTATGATTGAAACTGTTTTGTGAACAAATTAGAAATGATGATATTAATATTTCCAATAGTATATTACTATTGGAAATACTGTATACTATTATTGTATGCACAGTGGCCCGATAATCGCTCTTCTCTCTTTGCGCAGTGGCAGGGAAGTAGTCACTTTCGGGCCGCTGGTATAAAAACTATTTTGTTTTTGAGGGAACTACCTTAATTGTTACGTCATCGTGAAAAAAATTCGATAAAACTTATATATCAAAGAATAGAAGAACATCGGCAATTGATTCCACAAACAGAAATAATTTTTGATTGAAACTGTTTTGTGAAAAAAATTAGAAAAGATGATATTAATATTTCCGAATTATTATTAAGTTAAAAAAAAGTATGAGGAAGCTACTTGTTAATACATTTTTTTCGACGATGTTTGTGGAAAAAATATTAACAAAAACTCTCATCGCTTTCCCAAAATGATTTATTTTTACTTATTTGAAAAAATTAATTTTGACGCTACAGCGTGCAAAACGGCTTTAGCAACACCGGCCACAATAATAGACAAGTTCCCCTCCGCAGGTTCGATTGTGTTTTTTGACTTTTAAATAGTGAAAAGATAAAATAGAGTAACATATTATTGAAAATGTGGGTTGCATTTACCATCGAATGCCCATTTATGAATTATCGACGCCAATGATTTTTGTCTTATCATGATGGATCGATAAAAATGAAAAATTTTTTTTTTCACTGTGACACCATTATCGATACTAATATTATAAGACATTAAGAAAGGATGGTCGTGCGTCGCAGCAATTTTAGTCAGTGCAAATACCGTCGATGTATTATTTGAAAAGCTGGTTCGAAGCTGAGTGTCGATGGAACTTTGAGAAAAAATGTGTAATGAAACACTTGTCCTCTTGGACCAAAGAAGTAATTCGACGGCGATTGCACCAGTCGAGATTTGGATTTCTGAACCAAAATTTAGGAGATTATTAAGAGTATAAGCAATTCAAAAAGGCATAAAAAATTCAGTTTTTTAAAAACGACTAAGAGGTAGACCCCATAAGTGAGAGAAGGTTATCGATGAGAAACTTCTTATAGCTTCTTGGTTAGTCGAGTGAATCCGTGAAAAATGAGCTCGCGCGTTCAGGCGCGTTGGTCGACCAAGTCTTTATATAGCTTCACAAACATGTCTCCACTCATTAGTCATAGATCGTAGTGTATAAAAACCACTTTTTATTAATTCACGTTGATTCAATTTCCCGTTAATAAATATATTATACGAATACTTTTAAATTACGCGTTTTTTTAAGACATCAAATTCGATATTAAGTATGGATTTTTAGTTGAGGCTTCGTCAGCCCTTGTATCAAAAGAATTTCAAATAAAATAATTTGAGAATAATATTGAACTGTGCTATGTTGTGTTTCTTATTTGTTGGTAAACCTAAATATATCTGCCATCTTATAAATCTATTAATTTTAAAATTTAAAATTTAAAGTTTAATTTTCGAATTTCATCTATTACAGGTTTTTTACTTTGATTTCAGCAAAAGTTGCGGTGATGGCGAGACAATCAAGAGATTCTGAAAATTTATCATTTCTGCGTGGCCTTGCAGGTAAATTAATTCAGAAAAATCTCTGAATGGCGTACACTTAAAAAAACTGTAAACATAGAAAGAGTGTATAATATATCATCGCATGTATCATTAGATTCTAAAAGTGTCCGCTTTAGAGAGATTTCACTGTATTTCTATGAGTTACTTGAATAAAAGCCAATATCAAAAATCGAAAATGAAACCGAACGTTCAAAAATTTTTAACTCGATAACCATCAACTTTGCGAGAAAAAGTTATAGAACAAAAAGTTTTTAAAATTATTCAAAAAACACGCTCGATTTTTTTCAGAATTTTTGGAACCATTTTTGGATTTTCGGAAAAATGGTCATATCCAAAAATCCAAAAATCGCTCCGAAAATTCTGAAAAAAAATCACACGTATTCTTTGATCAATTCTAAACACTTTTTGTTCCATAAAATTTTTTCCTCAAGTCCTTCGTTTTTACCTTAAAAATTCTAGAAGTTTTTTTTTCATTTTTTCGCGTTCCGACCACCATTTTGTTTGTTTAAACATTAATTTTTCGAATCGGAACCCCTCTAACTTTTAGTTTAGACATCGAAAATGGCATTTTTAAGATTTTTTAAAATAGTCCCAATCGAAAGCTGAGGAAATATCCTATCGATATGCAAGATTTCAGAGTGTGCAAATGATTATTACTTAATGAAACCCAGCGATGAACGTGTAAAAACGTGACATTTCGGCCCGTGTGGCAGCTGTTTCCGCACGCAGTATCCCGCGCGGCGCAAAATCTCACGTTTTCTCTCATCACATCAGCAGACCCGTGCACCACGGCGCCAATCAAGGTAAACGGGTGCACACTATTTTTCTATTTCATCACACCATCCGTTAGCTCCACAGTTTGCGACGCTTAATAAAGCCTCTTACGAGAGTAATCAGCGAGCAAACACAAGAATCGCCATTCAACTCAAGATAATTAATTAATACACTTTGTAACTTTCAGCAATAGTAATTTCCGCGATTTACCTTTTCAATAAATACTTGATTTTGTACCATACATGCTGTGATATTCACATTAATTTATATTGATTTATTTATATCGTAAAATGTATGAAATTATGATAGCCTCCCATAAGAGCCCATGTTAAATTTGCTATTTTCAACGGCTTCGTTCTCAAACTTTGGTACGGTAACCCATGCTGAAATTTTGACAACATACCAAGGTCACTTTAAATGATATTTCTGCCAATTTCTATAATCATCTGTTGTTGACCCGTTTTACTGATGAGCCACCTTAACTTTTTCACATGAAAACACATTTACAACATTTCTTTCGAAAAACATTATCTAGCTATTGGGGTCACTAATTTTTTTTTAGCTAAAATCATTTTTATTGGGACAGTAAAAAATTAAACGCTTTATGAAATTAGCTGAATAATTATTTTTTTTACATTTAAACTGACAATAATAGTTATTTATGTAACAATTGCCCAAAAGGCGTTTTTGGGCACGAGTGTGCGGAAAAAGACACGAGTGCCGGCCACGCCAGCACGAGTTGGTGTTTTTTCCGCACACTGTGCGCAAAAATCTGGGCACGTGTTGCATACAAAATTTTATGCAATAGTAGGCGAAAAATACGTTCATTTAAATGAGTCGTTTTAGCGCACACCCGTGTCCAAAATGGGGCATTTTACCGCACACAAGTGTCCAAAAACGCTTTTTGGGCACTAAAAAATGTGCGAAAAAAGACATTTTTCGTCATACTATTGCATAAAATTTTGTATGCAACACGTGCCCAGCTTTTTACGCACAGTGTGCGCAAAAAACACCTACTCGAGCCGGCATAGTCGGCACTCGTGTCTTTTTCCGCACACTCGTGCCCAAAAACGCCTTTTGGACACTTGTTACATAAATAACTAATCTGCATATATTACAGAGTCCAGAGAGGATCCTATGGATTTATTCAATTACTTGTTAGCCATTGGAGCTACTAATAAGACGTTTTTACGTGAGTATAACTTGCATTGATTAAGTTATTCATTTGTAATACTATTGATTTTTCTAAAGGTCAAGAGTCCATTGAATTACATGAGAAAAAAAAAGTTCTTTTCAATGAAATAAGGAAATTGGTAATAAACAATTATGAACCATTCATCAATTCCAAAAAATATTCTAGAAAGATTTTAAAAACAGTAAGTTGATTAAAAAAAAAATATTTTTATTTAATCATTTTCATAGTGTTTATCATTATCTAAAGTACATACTGTAGATTACAATTAAATTCACTTATAAAATAGGAAATGTAAAAAAATTTTTAATTTCATATTTTTATTTTAATTGCATTCGTTTTATAGAACAACTGTATGCTTAATAGTAAGTTAGTGACATTTAGGTGTCCTAGAACGGTGTCTGCATGATCCGTATGAGCGAAATTGCTTAGTTTCTTTCTCATTGGAAATCCACTAAACGCACATATAAAAAATGTGACATAATTTATAGCAAATAATATAAACACGTATAGAAGCACAAAACTATAGACGCTATTGAGGCTAGCTCATAAAATACCAAAACCTACTTTAGTTTCTGATCAATTTTTGAAAATTGACTTTTAATAGCGACTTTCTTTAAGACTACGAGAGAAAAATTTATTATATTCAAAACATTTAGTTCCAGTCCCATTCGATTTAAATGTCATAAAAAAGTCGATTGGCTTAGTCATTTTCATTATTTCATTTTCTCGTTCTAAATTTTATAGTTTACGTAAAATTTTTTCGTATAGATGCACAGAATTGAAATATTAATCACATTTTTAATTAATTTCTAGATGAGCTTAGCTAATGAGGATTTAAGTATTGTATCTGATAATATACCTTACTTTGTGGATGAATGTAAACTTTATTGTGAAAATTTAGAAAATTTAAAAGTTATGAAAAAAGTACATCGATATTCTGTAACGAAAACTATGAGGCTTCAAAATATTTTAGAATTACCATTTCTTATGAGATCATGTTTAAACAAAAAATTATGTCAAGAAGCACTGGAACTTTCATATTACGTGAAAAATATTGGGATAAGATTTCAAGATACAACTTTATTAATGGTAAGTTTTCTATTTTTTTACGACTTTTTTTCAAAAAAAATCATGCATCGAAGCAGCGTGAATACTAGACTTTTCAAGTTTTAGCTGAATAAAAGACGATTTTCTTCTTTAAAAGATAAATTAATACGAATAACGTATATTGCTCATTTTTAAAATTTAGGACTTGATGATAATTTCTATGAATAATTGTTTTTTTTTCTAAATCTTGCACCAGGTTGCCTGTTTGATGCCCCACATAAAAATCTAGATTAGAGAAATTCTCTAAATTACAAGACCAGGTTGTAATTGGGGACAATCTGTAGCCTTATTTATTCAAATTGATTTAAAATCAATAAGCTAAAAATTATTAAAACACTCTGGCGTTTCGTAGCCCCATGTTTATTTTTTCAAACACAAGTAATAATTACTCTCAACAAGAGCAGCCGTTGACACTTTCCACACGCTATAGGGTCCAAGAACTTCAAAAAAAGAACAACAAATCAACACGAGGAAATGATGAAAATGTACGAGCATATGATCGATATGAAATTGATACAACTGGCACCGGCATGATGACACTCCGACAGAACTACGACATGACACATCGAGCAAGCCTATAAGATATCTCTTCTATTAAAGCATATCCTGACAGACGAAAGAATACTTGAAGATGAAACATCAGTAGAACAAACCTAAAGTCTTCGTATACACTAGATATTCTCGCCACAGGATGTGTACAAAACAGAGTAGCATTAGAACCAAAAAACACAGATAAGACGCACTTGACGTATAAGAGATTAGCTGAACACCTACAGCCAATCGAAGATGAGTCTCAGGTAGCTAAATCGAGACATACTTTTTAATATTTTGAATAATGACATACCATGGTGCATTAACCACACGCCACAATGTTCTGGATTGGAATTTTTCGACAATGTTGACATTTGACAGCCCGTACCCCATAATTGGATACCCAAGGTCCCAATTGGCTTAGGATCTGATTATATTCTTGTAAATCTTCTTAAAAGACCATTTTTATTTACTGATTACTGAGTAGTGTCAGACTACACCACACTTGTGGCGACTTCGGCGCCTGAAGAAGTCTCGCTTAACAGGGGGTCGGCGCTGTTAGCAATTGCAGGCTGCCCGCTTTCTTGCGTACCGGCCCAAGCTGTTTTTTTTTCTACTTCACCTCATTCGGACACTCACTGGTAACCGCCGCTAGGCATTGCCTCGGTGAGGCCGGGGTTAGTTGAGCATTTCTGCTACTTCGATATTAGTCGTTTCCATACATCCCTCATCCGTCGCATAGTGATATGCGACGATTAGGGGTTTGGGGACTCATCTTCTTCTACTTGGTGAACCTCCGATCCTTTCCGATGCCATCTCTCGATTGTCGTATCCCCTTTTTCAGAGCCGTCTTTTTGCGTCGTCACACATTGCTGGCGTCTCGTCCTGAGTTAAGTATTAGAACTCGCTGCCCAGTGCCATCTTGCAAGTGTGGTTCTCGCTTCCGGCGCTACTCTCCAAGTTCCGGTGAGTTTCTGATACTCCTTTCTGTTGTCGTCTTGTGAGTGTGGTTTTCGCTTCAAGCGCCATCATGCGTCACCCAACGAGCCTAAGCTCCCGCATTCGGCGCCCTCTTGTGAGTGTGGTTCTCGCTTTTGACTTCATCATGTTATTGTTGTGTTCCCCGTCTATCGCCAGCCTTGTGAGTACTCGTCTCGGACTCCTACTTATGGTTATCCTCTTCGTTTCCAGCTCGCACAGTGATCGGGGTTTTTAACGCTACGGAGGCTGATGACATAGCCCGGGTCTTCTTTTTGAGTGGTACCCGCTCCACCTTGGCCACGGGCTCCACCACACCAGGCGAAAAAACGCGATCGAAAATTTGCCCAGTGGGGATCGAACCCACGCCCTACGGCACATCCTTGTATCAGCAGGCAAGAACTATACCCACTGAGCCAAGGAGGCCGATTAAAGTCCCAAGCTGTGGTTTTTCCAACTGAGGAGTGGTCGAATGTCTGCACCGAACTCTCAAAGCAGCTTTCAAGTGTTAGCCGGAGACGCCTTGGACCTCAGCCTCGCCAATTGTCCTCTTGGGCCTTCGCATAGCTTTCAAGGAGGACTTGCAGGAGTCGCCGGTGGAAATGGTGTTTGGAACGGCCTTACACATCCCAGGAGAACTCGTCATCAAGCAAGATGCAACATTGCCGAAGGCTTCCGAGTTCGTCGTTGCATTGCGCCGCTTCTTTGCCTCGATTCGACCTGTGCCGGCCTCCAGATACACGCAACATAAGCGTTTTCAAGGACCTAAGCACATGCGAGTATGTCATGCGCTGCCTAGACATGAACAAGAAGCCGCTTGATCCGCCATACAGTGGACCTCACCGTGTCGTGCTCAGAGTCGACGACCGCACGTACATCGTCGACGTCAATGACTCGGAAAGGGCTTCTTGACAGACCAGCTCAAGCCCGCCTATTATGAGACGTCGGATGAGCCGAGTCAACCTAAGGAACACCAAGCTGCACCGTCCACGGAATCAACGGTTGCATCAAAGCCCACGCCACCCCCGGACCCCACGCCAACTGCACAGCCTGCGTCGTCTACTCAGCCGAGGTCATGTGGAGGAAATACGCCACCTCTAACAAGAGCCCGGCCACTACGTGTTGTATTTTCATTAACCTCGCAAAGTACGAGGTCCATTGGGAGGGGAGGGAATTGTGCTGTGCACAACCATTTTTAATTCAGTCTAAGTATTATTAAAGATTTTAAGTTTACATGGCCACCTCTAATCTCTTCAGACCCGCAGCTCTCATATGCGGACGGTGAGATCCTGACCCGATCCGTAAAAATATATTATAAAACAAAAAAATAAAAAATTGACGTTTTAAACCTTTTAGATGTATATTACACGCGTTTCAACGGCAAAATAGAAGAAAGACACCTTCTTTCGCTCTATTTCTTATTTTCTTGTATTTTAATAATTTCCTTCAGTTGTCTTTATTTTCATACTTTTTATCGATGAAACAAATTATGTGTACGGGAGGTTGAATTGAGTTCCAGGCTACTGTGAACATCTAACCCTTTCGGGTTGGCCAGAAAAACAGACCTGACTACTTGGTTGGAAATTTCAGGTAACCCGACACCCGTACATCTTCAATAACACGGGCTTACAAAAAAATTAAAGTCTTTAGCTCCAGAGACCGGACCTAGTGAACTATATGTTATTTAAGTCGCTGTATCTGAATCCGGGGTCGGTTTTTGAAAATCAGATCAATTTAATGTCATTTCAAGGTCGTTTCAAGGTCAAATCACGAAAAAAAGATTTAAAAAATATGAAACATCTCCTGTATAGATTTTCGAGGATGCTGAACTCAAATCTGAAGTCAGATGACCTCTACGACTTTACGCTCCAAAAACCGATACAACATTTTTTCCGTTATTTTATCGCGTTTACTAGATTTACCCTTAAAATAAAATTTCATTGAGATTTAGCGACCCTCAAAAGATAAATGTGATTTTTTTGGATTTTTATTCAATTTTCTAAGTTTGACCTTCAAATGACAGGTAAGGTCGTAGAGATTATTTGACTTCAGATTTGAATTCAGCATCTTCAAAAACTTATATCGGAAATGTTTCAGATTTTTTAATATTTTATACATGATTTGAACTTTAAATGACCTTCAAATCGATCTGATTTTGAAAAACCGACACCGGATTCGGATTCAGCTACCCAAAAAACATTAAGTCCACCAAGTCTGGCCTCTGTAACTGAAGATTTTTATACTTTGTGTGCCTGTGTAATTATTTTAAATATCGACTTAACAGCGTAAACAATATATTTTTTAAGGACAGGATTGGGTGTTGAAGAAAATTATTTTTACACTTGTGTTTTTTCATGTAGAAACGCTTATTAAGTCGGTAATGCGTCGATAAATAGGTGATGTACCGACCGATGTTCCGCCGATTTATAGCAAAGTCTTACCTAAAAAATTCTTGCGCATCGGCCCAGGAGATATGCTCAGACGGTCAGCGCAATGTTACCAAATTCAAATTTTGCGTTCATTCAACAGCTAATAGAGCTAATTTAAAAGTCGATTAATCAATCAATTTAAGTTTTTGAATTCATTTTAATCAAATAAAATTAAATTTTGGAAATGAATCAAAGCTAATTCACTGAACCAAATTACTCTAAACAAATCATACTAGTCAAATTAAGGTTGAATAATTCCATCAGCTAAAGAAATTTTTATCCATAAGGCTGGTCTGTCATACAAAACTGCGCTCGGATGTTTCCTCACGTGCACAGATAATTGATCCCTAACCTATATAGGCCCTTAGTCTACCCAAGTTAGGAGTTTCTGTAAAGTAACCGTGGATTACTGCATTTTTCAGACACCGCAAAATACGTCTTTAATACAATTTTTGCCCACAAGTGAAATGTCGAAGTTTTTTTATTTTTCAAACTAAAACGAATACTAGTGAAAGAGCAACAATTCAGTTTTGTCGTTTGCAATATTTATTACCCAAATTATGGAAACATTTTTACAATACTAGAGCTTTTTACAAAATCATGATTAATTTTTTTATAGAGTACCGTGATCCAAACTGAACATTTTTGGCTCCTGACGATCGACTGGATTTTTGTTGAATTAGAAAAAGATATGTCTATTCCTCTTTGTCTTCAACTCATCAACTTTTTAAGAGCTATTGGTATTTTTACTGAGGCAGAACTTCGTATTAGATTTATTGAAAAGCGCAATGTATGGTATCAGTCCTCTTTGAAGTCTATTTCTTTGGAACCTCGTAAGTAAACATAATCTATACACTTATGTTATAATTCAAAAAAGTGTGTTTGAAATTTAAAAAATTTTCAAGGAAATGAATATTTAGCGAAAGTCATTGAGTTCACAAGAGTGAGTTTATTTGGTATTATATCTCAATATAAAGCATTGTTTCATGATGACAGCAGTCACACTTTTCTTGACGAAATATCATCAATGTTTTTCCAATGGATTGAAGAAAAGGTACGCTGTAAACAAACCTTAAATCATTAGAAAAAAGAGTAAAAAAACTTTGTCTTTTTTAAAATGTAGGTCATTCAATTCTTTGATATTTTAGAATGTGAGTTACCCAAAGTTGTTTTTATGGAATACATATTTGATCAGTGCACTTATTTTGCCTTATCATTCAGAAGATTAGGAATTGATTTTACTTGTCGATTGTCTCAAATATTTGTTAAAGTGTATGGGGCCAAATTTGAAAAACAAATAATAGATAATACTAAACTTTTTATTGAAAATATGGAAAGTTCGTATCTCGAAGAAAAAAATTATGCCTCACTTAGCAGCTCTATCACTAATTTTGTAAGTAATTTTTTACAATTATATATTATATATTTACAGAAATGGAAAATAATATTATAAAAAAAATACTGATTCTTCTCAAAAATATTTTTATTCTTTGAAGGAAATCGTAGCATGATAAGTAGCACGTATTCTTAGTCTGGCGTTCACTATGCAAGTGACTCTGACAACTACCCATGCGTACACTATACGGCGATTGATTCTGCAACAACCTCCAAACGTAAACACAGCGAAGTCGGACTGCCTGTGTGTGTAACAGGCGTCAATAATAACAATAGTATACGGACCAGCATAGGCAGAGGCCCCAAATTCGCTGTGTTTACGTTTGGAGGTTGTTGCAGAATCAAACGCCGTATAGTGTACTTTGTGCAACACCCTCCTATCTTTATTTAATCGTAAATATATGAATGGGTATCTTTTATTTTTCTCAACTCTCATTTATGAATATTTGAAAAGAAGATTCAGTTCTACCTTAGTTTGAACTGAAGATTTTAGCTCCTTTTTACTTATTTTTGTCTTTTCCTTAGTTTATAACCCTAGTCAAAAACTTGGGTTGAGAAACGAGCCGATTTTATGACTATCAGAAGATAATTGGATATGCTTATTTTTAGATTACCATACTATGTTCCGAATTTTTTTTCTTAGTCATAAGGTTTAATTTTCCTGTAAAATAATTTTTTCATCACTGCGTGCGGGAAGTAGCATTTCCTCGCCATGTCAACGCCGTAGCAACCCTGCGCCGTGCAGGAAAATCTTAAAATCGACTTCCTGCACTCGATGATGAAATAGTATATTACTGCCCTAGGCCGGGAAAAATAGAAAAGTCCCAGGGCACGTGAAATAAGCGACCGAGGCGAAGCCGAGTTGGGTACTGAAAAATATTTATCATACAGATGATACTACATTGTTGTAACTCAGATGCCTCAATTGATTCAATTTTTATTGCTCTTCTTTCAAAATAACTACTCATTTATTTCAAAAACTACTTGAACTGTGTAAAAATCTACAATTTCATTTTCAAATAAAGAACATTTTTTATGATGAAATCCTCCCATTGATAAGATTTTTAAGATTCTATTCGCGTTTTTTTTAAATGTAGAGTATAGGCTTATAATTTTGCTGTTTTTAAAATCACTACTCTTATATCTCAACCACTTACACCACTTTCACTTTGTACAAATTTAAAACAAAATTTGAAAAAAAAAAGAATAATATTTTCATTTTCACTATAACTATATAATTAATCTATAAATCATAACGTTTTTGGTCTTAAATTGAAGTTTAACTGCTCATCTTTTCTCATCTGTGCTCAAAAACTTCAATGAATCACTACATCCTTTCTAAAAAATGAAAAAATAAAAATTTTCCAAAAAAAAAACCTAAAAATCTTAATAATTTAAAAAATATTACACGAATCGAAATAAAATTTTTTCGGGCTTCATCCTCGACCCAGTAAAAAAATGCAGTTTATTTTAATAACATTTACCGTCCCATTATTGAGAAATCTCGTTCCACATACATACATACATACACACAGACATCAGTCACCAATTCGATCTAGATTATGAATGTATGGGGCGAAACACTATTGTTGCCCCAGCACTTCGCGGGAATGACCAAAACGGCCCGATTGCTCAGTGTTCAGCTCGCTTGCAAAGGCTCAAATAAAATTTAGAAAAATAAAGCAAATATGGGTTTCAATAGGTTTTTACCATGGTAAAAACTGGCGCCGCGCGAGTATATCTATACATGTCGCTTCCCCTTCGTCGCTGGACCCCACTACCGCCGACCGCTATGAACTAATTTTTCGATATTGTGAACAATTTTGCACTGACACTTGAAAAGTTTAAAGTGTATTTCGATGTAAAATTTCACGAGGAATCGATTGGTGCAATTAGTTTTTCTATAGCTTGCTTCGTTAGCGAGATATGAGCGAAAAACTCTTTCACCCTCGATTTTCACCCTGATGCTGATGTTTTAGGTAAAAAATAACATCGGCAATGAATTCAGAGCACCCAAAAACATAAAGTAGACAAGGATTCATCTCTCCCCAACAAAATGCAATTTCATGTAAGTTTTCACTGGACTAATAGCTAGCTACGTCTCTTTTTTCAGTATGGTGTCCACGCATCGAATGCCCCAATCATAACAGCTATGCCTGCGCCGGTACCTTTGTTTTACCATTCTTATACTTCTTTTCCATACTTCTTTACCAAAGTTCTGCCTTACCTTACGTTTTACTCTATTATCTATAATAATTAATTAGGCCAAGGTCTCGGGGAACTTTGTCACTTCTCTAAAGTTACTAGTACATATACTCTAAATTATTAAGTAAATAATTTCGAAAATTATTGACAATTTTTAATTAAAAATAAAAAAAAATCACCTGACGATTTTTTTCCACTTGAAATCCTCGAAGATTTTACCACAAAAAACCTCGTGTATAATCGAATATCCATGAGGATTTCCGTATATCAACTAGGGCTTCTGTGTATTCACGAGGATTTCTGTGGAAAGCCGTGTGGTTGAATCAAAAATCAACGAGGATTTCCGTGGAAAGCCTCGTGGGTTCATCAAAAATCAACGCGTATATTTCATAAATCCCCGAGGCTTACGTACGTATATTTTTTATATGATCCACGTGGAATCAATATTCGATCCTCACACACCTCAAAAACTTTGATCTGAACATTGTACACAGTGTCTAGATGCTAAAATAGCAAAAATAAGCAATTTTTAGATGTGTAACGTCAGGAGATGCCACTTTAATAAATAAGTAGATTGATTTTATTCTGGCTGGTGACAATGAGGGATTATAAAAGAATTATCGGTGCCCACTATTAGTTAATACACAATTACAGGTGCATTATAGGCTACTTAAAATTAGGTACACTATTTACTCCAAACTGAATTGTTCTTAATTTTATAATGTTATTTAAGAATTCTTGTTTGTTAATATATGAATTTTCCTGTTCAAGGACAACATGAAAACGTCTTGTCAAGAACTTTACCCATTTGCTGCCTTTTGCAATGGAATTTTTTCCAGTTTTAATGCAATAAGACTCAATACACCATTCGTACTGCGGCTTAAGATAAGAAATTCACTTGAACTATCAACGCACTGTTTACAATGTACTATCCAAGAAAAAACTAAACAAATTAAGGTAATATTAAATTTCGTCTTGTATTGTGAATTAAACATAAATTTTTTCTAATTATACTTATTATTCTCCTAGCAAAAATCATTTCAAAGCGACGAGTTGGATCGATTTTTTAAGCTTCTCCAAGAAAATTGCATTCTTAGTATTCAGAACTCGATGAAAAAGGTTTTACCAGAAAATCAGTTAGTGAAATATTTTGGTATTACTCAGTTTGACATGGAATTGCAGGTTTAATTCAGAAAAAATTATATAGATTTGTACTGTTAGTAAATGTTTGAATCAATACAATACTTGTTTCATAAATTAATTATTTTTTTCCTCTTACCTAAAGTTACATTTTCCTTCCCTGCTATCGGAGACGAAAGTGGCATCTTTTATCCCTGCGCGCCAGCGCACTGACCACTATTGCATCGAGGCAGTGCTACTGTAGGTGAGTTCGTGGACTAATTGTGTCCATTGGAACACGAAACCGATCGGTATGGAACATGTAAAAGTATTCGACGTTCCGTGATCCAGTGGACTAAATTAGTCCACGGATAGTGTACATGGTTGATTCTCTCGAAATTTGCTTTTTGCATGTCTACATAACATGTTCTTTAACTAGTAAAAATAAGCCAAAACTGGGTAGGTCATTCATTCAATATTGTTGTATTCTTCCTAACAGGACATAAATATAGGCAAACCCCGTTATTCGCGGAGTTTGGTTCCTTCTCCCTCAATGTCGTGCGCTAGCCCGGATTAAATGTCAATAACAGTCTGTTGACTGCTTCTTGATTTTGCAATGGCTAAAAATGACATTTTTTTGAAAGTTAAAAAAGTATGAGTACAGTGAATTTATATCTTTGAAACTTGACATAGTGTTTTATAATAAAACCATGAAGAAGTTTCAATAGTTTTTTGTAAAAAATATGTCAATTGAAGCAATGAAAATCAAGAAATAAATAAGGAACGTAACCCCCGCAGATATCGGGGTTTAGCTGTACTATGAAAAAGTAAGCTCGGGTAGAAGTTTTTTTTTGGTCAATCGGGTGTAGGATGAACATATTTTACTATCATTAAAAGAAAATTTTCACTATTTCGATTTATATAGCTATTTTTGAAGTTGAGCTTTTAATGCCGGTCGATCCCCTTAAAACAGATTTGCAGATATACAAAAATTCGGAAACAAATAAACGCAAATATAATGCCTAAACTACATATTGAGGCGTTTCTCACGTGAGCTGCGCAGGTTTCTAAGCTACGTTACAAGTACGCGCGCATAAGAAACTGAAATTGTAAGAACTCGTCCGAGAGTGCTCTCTACACGCGCCTCAATAACGAACGTGAGAGAGGAGGAGAGAATATGCTATGCGCGAAGCGCTGTGGGTAAGACGCTCAGGGATTTTATGTTGGTGACTTATCTTAAATGATTACATAGAAAAAATAAATATGTATGCGTTAAATGGGTCAGAAGGACCGTGAAATAACTATGAATATCAGAGTATCATGTGAACAAATAATTGGGTTTTATTGAAAATGTAAATTACGGCAATTACTATTATCGGAAAAGAAATACAAATGGGTTTAGTTAATGTTCTTGAGTGGAGCTGCAACTCTTCGGTTACTCGCTGATTACTCTAAGAAAGAGGCTTGATCAGGCGTCGTAACCTGTGATGTGTGGATGTGATGGTTGTGACTGAATATGAATAGTTTTACCTTATGCTGCGTCGATGTACTCGGCTCTGCCAACGTGCTGGAGTGCGCTTGATTCTCGTTCGTGTTCCTACGTTAAATCACGAGAGGATATCACACACGGTACGATAGGATAAGGTAAAAGAATTATAGAATTGTCTATCAAGTCTCAGCATCTAGCACGATTGAAGTAGAACTTAGATTTTGATTGACATATTCTATGTGACAAGGAGCTAACGGTCTTCAACTGATATGTGAGACCCGGTCCGGCTCTCTCGTACTGAGTTATCTCTGCAATTTGCTAACGGTATTCAGCAATTGAGTGAAACCTGATTCGGCATGTATTGCAGCGATAGGATGGTAAGGAAACTCCCAAAGGATGCACTTGCACTTCCGCAAAACACTAAAGCACCCACGGCAGTACAATTACCGCACTTGCGACAATTGTTTACACTGATTATCACTTCCCGCAGAACCGATAATCAGTTCAGTCAGCTATTGCGAGAGTCGTACAGCACCAAGTGAGTATTGAACGTGATGTCGCAATAGCTGGACTTATAAAATTCGTGGCACTCGTAGCGAAAACTGACTAAGTGTCGCGAATTGAATTGTAAAGTTGACTGTTGAGTAATCGAATATATAATGAGGAGAAAATAATAATAGAGAAATAATAATGAATTCGCTGCGCCCTTGACCTGGCTTTTATAGGCCCGACGGCGGGTCACATTCGGGGGTCGCTCTCGTGCGCTCGCCTCCTCCTCTCGCGTATTTCGCGGAGTGGGATGCGGTGCGTGGTTTCCTCGCTGCGCGCGCGTGCAAGTCGGTGAGTGAGTAGGAGAAGCTCGCGTCTCGCTGCTCTCTCTCGCCTCTCTCTCGCCTCGCGCGCGTCGTAAGCGCGTAACTTGACTAATTTTACTGTAGCTCCGTTGCAATAGTCCCCCTAAACTCTTCTGAAAGAATGCGTGGGCTCATGCAGGGCTTGAAAGGAGAGTTTAACACAGGAGCGTATTATGTTTTGGTGTTGTTGTTTATTGTTGTCACGTTTTCTTTTTTTGTCTTATTTTGTTTTGTTGTTTGCATGTTTTAATCGTCACTGTCTGATATTGTGATTGTGGTTGGACTACGTCGTTGAACTGTCGTGGCTGTCGATGATATGTCGTCCTGTTCTGTCATGATGTCGTCGTCTCTTGGATCGTAAGGTCTGACCGTGGCCCTTGGTCTGTCCACTGGCGTGAGAGTGTATTGACTGCCTGGCAGCACGATGCGTCTCCTTCGGTAGAGTGCGGCACATACCGCATGAGCCTCATCGTCAAGTGGGTTTTTGAAATTGCACTGACTGCATTGTAGTTGTAGGTCACCCCGGGGTTCTTTGGTCTTCCTCCTCCTTGTCGGTGCACGTCGTACTTCGTCGTCCGTGTCATACGTCCTGTCCTGTTTAAAAAATCAACAGAAAAAGAAAGGAGACAAGAGATGATCGTTAATGAATGTACATACAACTGGGTTAATCTGACTCACTGATGCTTGACGCGTCACACTCGATGACGTCGTCTAGCTTCTCAGCATCGTCAAGCTTCTTCAGCAGTAGGGCGTTTTGAAGTCTGTTGATCTCTGTCTTTGTGTGTTGTATCTGTATAATTATTGGGTAGATGAGTGGAAGGTAGTATTCAGGTGTTAAGAATACGCTGTCTAATTGTTCTGGGTCAAGTGATTCTCGTATAATTTCCTCCTCTCGCGTATTTCGCGGAGTGGGATGCGGTGCGTGGTTTCCTCGCTGCGCGCGCGTGCAAGTTGGTGAGTGAGTAGGGGAAGCTCGCGTCTCGCTGCTCTCTCTCGCCTCTCTCTCGCCTCGCGCGCGTCGTAAGCGCGTAACTTGACTAATTTTACTGTAGCTCCGTTGCAATATATACTTGGAATTATTGCATTATGATTCCTTTTTCTACTTACGCTGTATCTATTCGCAGATAAAACCCAACTAAACACGTGGATATAGGGTAATAAGGAGATTTATGCACTTATTAAAAGTAGTTTTATTCGTTTCTCCATGTGCTTAAAGACACTTTAAAAGCTTAAGGACTCAAAGGGGGCTTAAATAATTATATAAATAATTATGTATTCCTATTTATAGTATTGAGCTGAAAAAGTGAAGAAAATTTTTTTCAGAAAATAGGCGTAAGAGCCTTTTTCAATACCTCATTTAAAAGTACTTTGTGCAATTAGATACTTACAAACACTTAAATTAACTAGTACAAATCTAAAGACCTTCAGTGATTAGCATTTGTCGTCTCTAAGCTGCCGGTCGTAGGTTTTCAAGTGTTTGCATGACACAATTGAGTTGTATGTGGTTTCATTTTGTTTGATGTACCATTGGACATCAACGCAACCTCAAGCTAAGCATAAGATCAACTTTGACTACTTCCACATACAATTCAATAGATTATTTTTTTCATTATTGTTTATTTTTGATAATTTTTATCGGCCAACAAGCCTGCTGGTAGCCCGGCTATTCATACTTGTCGGTATGCAGACCTTTATCGTGGTGCCTTACGTTGTCCTCAGATGTCTTTGCCGGTGGGCGGCTTGTCCGCAGCCGATGCAGGAGCCGAGCTCCTCACAACAGTACACGTAATGTTGAATTCACGTATATTCACATAGCTGAGAAGCCTAAGATCTTATACTACCGAAGAGTTCGATTCACGCATATGGGAGAATCTCACAAACCTTTGACCGACTCGTACTAGAAGTTGATTTTTTTATATCATAAGCACAATGATGAAACTTAGCAAGCCATTTAAATGGGTTAAAAATTGTTCATGATCTTGAAACCTTTCTCCAATAGTGCTAGTCACTAGAAACTAGTGCTAGTGAAACCGTGATAGAAATGACAATGGATTCGAAAATTCGCCTCGAATTCGAGCTAGAAAAGGATGACTGGGAGACATTCACCGAAAGACTAGAGTTATTATTCATAGTCAACAATGTATCAGATGACACAAAAAAAGCAGCCATACTACTAACTAAAATAAGCGCAGACACCTAAGGTAAAAGTACTAATGGCTGACCACTGACCAATGCCTGGCCACTCATATGATTTTTTACGATTATTTACGTAATTTCATACTTTACACCCATGAAACTCAGCAAGTTAAATGATTTTAATGATAGCTATTGATGTACCTATCAATATTAATAATCAGCGACTTATTTAGCTTAAAAATCAATTATGATTACTCGACTTGAACCACATGCCATCTGACTATGCTTCGCTTACGTTGAATCTTAAGAAATGAGCAGTTTTTGTTAAGGCGATATTAAGTTATAAAAAAATTAAAATCAACGTGTCAAAGTTATTATATAATCTTGAACACATTTTTTAAGTATTAAACATAAATTTAATTCTGAAAATATTATTTTTACACTAAAATTTCGAATGGTCATTCATTGGTACCGGTAAAATTCGCTTGCGTTTTTATGCTTGTATGTCTGACCAGTCAAATATGACGGTGGCCATGTCAAGGTACACACTTTTTTTCTGTGCTACTCACTCTGACCATGTGCAAAACTGAAGTTGCCTAGAGCCAGTTAATTATATGTAAA